AGAAACTCCATGGCTAGCTGCTGAATCTCCACAGCTGGCGCAAACTCGGCACTGAAAATGGTCACAAAGTCTAAACAGGTCATAGCCTCAATGTCTGGAGCTCCCAAAGTATCGCTGACTGCCTCCCACTAGTCTTTAGCCCGCTTTCTCAAACAAACAGCAGCAAACCCGACCTTCGACCCCTCAGGATAGAAGCTCGTCACTTGCACAAACTCAATGTTCATGATCCATCGTCTCGCTACAATGGGGTCCTTCACCCCGCTGAAGTCTGGCGCTCCGCATCCCCTGAAATCCTTGAAGGAGAGTGTGCGAGTCCCTGACTGGCCAGGTGTCATGTTACTCTTGAATGTCCTAAGGCAATCCTCCATCAGCTCAATGATACCCTCCTTGATCGACCCGAAAATCATCGGGTTTGCCTCAAGGATGCCTCTTGTAATATTAGATGCAATGAAATCACACAATTCGTCATCAACTGGCTCAAAACATGTACTTGTACCTGAAGGTGACCCAGACCCTGAACTTCCTGCTCCTTATCATGTCAATACCATTCTGTAACAAACCACACAATCATCAGTCATACATAATATCGAGATACCTCATGCTCACTACAAGTTCCTTGGTAAAATATCAGCCCTCCTTGATTCGAGTACGGATCCTCTACTTTCAGTAGTACAGGCCCCTACTACCTTCCACATCTATCCGTACTTTCCTCAAGGATTGATTTGACCTCACCAAGTGGCTTTCAGTACTACTTCTCTCAGCACTATTCTCATCCTAGGCTTTCCTTAGGGTAACCTCCGAACCACTCTCCACCATTAGCTACATAAGAAGTCCTTGCTATCTCTCCCTAGCTAGCTCATGAATAACATTACATATTACTAAGACCATATAATTCTTCTAATGAGGGGTCCTACCCTACAACATTTGGACTCAAACAAGGGCTACGAAATAGGGCTATACCTAATGTTATGAAGTTATTTAGTCCTCATAATATGTAACTTAACGTGTGCGTTTACTAGTTAATTAAAGATAACTAGGACTCCTAAAATCACAAAGCAAGCAATATTCGGGCATTGAGTAACCAAAACCAAGCATATCCTAATCAGGCTATCATATCACTGACTAGTCAGTACTATCATACAGTTCAATAAGCACATACATTAGGCACATAAGGGATCTTCCTAGACCCTTAGCCCTAATCTAGCATGCAGTTCTCATACACATACAATAGCCATATAATCAAGGTTGTAGAACTCGTTACTCGGTACCTGCTCGTCCGACTACCGAGTAGCGAGTACTCGGGAGTACTCAGGAGTACTCGGGGAGTACTCGGATTTGGTAATTCATGTAGAAATATTTTTAGGTAAATTATATATGTCAAAATCATAAGTTAAAATCATAAGTTGATTGAAATATATAACAAAATTAGATACATGTGAATACACAAAAACTAAAAAAACACATAATGGTCTCACTTCGTGAATAATTACTGAAAATTTAAGATGTATATATAGTAATAATCACAGGTGTGTATGTTAAATAATAAATCATTAAGTATATTATACATATTAATCACCTAGTTGACCGAGTTTTACAACACTGCTCAGTTCAGTAAGGGGCCGATCGTGAAGTACTCGGGATTCTATAACTCGCATCGGCAAGGGACCGAGTAGCGAGTACTCGGAGGAGTAATCGGCCAACTCGGCGAGTTTTACAACACTGCATATAATGCATCCTTCCTTGATCCTTAGCCCTAATCTAGCATGCAGTTCTCATAATCATATCATAAATCATAGTGACATGTATGGGTATCTTGGGGAAAACTTACTTGAGCTCGACCAATTGCACGCATCACACACCTTATTCTTTCTCTAAACTCTTAATTTTAATTTTTGAATAATTGTTTTCTTTGTAAAAAATTTCCAAAACCTCGATTTGAGTCCAGACACCCCAAAGGTGTGTCCGAATCCCTCAAACCAAGGCTTTGATACCAACGTGTAACATCCCAAAATTTACGACCAAAAATTTCATTTTTAATATAATAATTATAAAACCATTTGTCTGAAAACAACCATAGTATCAACTCATAAAAAAACCAAAGTATCAATAGTCAAAACATGTCACGATAAAACATCATCAGAGTATAACTCCCAAAGATTTAATAGACCTTCGAATCTAATGGATATGCCCCAAACCTACAACCAAACAAGGAACATGACTTAGAGTGGACACATTATTTTAAATCAAATTAAGTTTTTCTTATACCTTCGAATCTAATGGGTTTGTTCCAAGCCCACAACAAAACAAGGAACAAGACTTAGAGCGGACCCATCATTTCTAAATCACCAGGCTCTTAACTATATATAATTTTATTGTATACATCAAACAATTGTAGATTCCACCGAGTAACGATATATAATGTTATGAATGTAGTGGTAGTTCTCTTAATGAAATAATATGCATGCCCATTTCATTGATATGATTTAGTACATAGAGTTTGGAAAATTTTGACCTTAGCGCAGGTCTACATCAATGCAAGAAAAGTTGCGATAGCAAATAAATCCCTCGACTAGTGTATCCACTTCGTCGCAGGGTCGAAATTACACATGAAGGCGAGTAGCACCAATGTATACTCATAAACCTAATCTATATCAAGACGGGAGTAGTGTAGACACTACTCACGGCAGTTGCTGCTCTGGTCTTTGAATCCCGCCACTTGGCACTCTGTTAAGGTCATGCGCCTCTCTAAAGTGGCATGATTTTCTCGAAGTGTCCGAACCTCGACTAGGGCTGCGGCCAACTCCTTCTGGAGGGCTTCGGTGTGGTGCATGGTCTGGTCATGATCTCAGTCCAGTTGCCGAAGTCTAGCAGTGTTGACCTGAACGACTGCATTAGTTGCTAGAAGTTGGTTGTACAAGACTCGGACTTGGTCAGCCTAGCGCGAGATACGACCCACTATGATAGGTAGGGCTCTGTTAGCTGGACTTCCCTCGTCGAGACTGTGGAAGTCCCTATGCATTTTGAAAGGAGGGTGCGGTCTCTGCTCTTGGCTCCAGAGGTTCAAGGTTTTGACTCATCGGGGCGCCAGACCCTGGAATTGTTGTCGGGGTATGGTGATCAAATTCGGGTTGTATACTTCGGGCTCCTCCTTGGAGTCCTCATCCATTCCTTCTTCGTCTTCATCTCCTCCAAGATCTTCCTCTGGATCCTCTTCGAGCTCTTCTTTGATCAATTCCTCGAGATCTTCTTTTATCCATCCTCCGTTTCCTTGATTCGAGTAGTAGGGGTCTCATGGTAGGTGAAATCCTACCATGACGCATGTGCAAGAATGGGGTGTAAAAGGCATGTAATGAATATTACACTAGATCAACATAAAAATATTCCTATAGTATTTTAATTTTTAGGTTTGGTTCTTAAAGTATTTCTTGTAGGGATGTTGTTAGGTTATGAGGCTTGTTGCCCGCTGCGGTCATCCCCCGACATATGTTAGTCACTTCTCAGATGAATATAGTTGATCACGATATATTCTTCCCAGACTTGATTTACATACATCAGGGCATCCCCGCAACATACAACTCGCCTTCTTTTATTTTTATGTTCTTGTCACAAAACTATACAACAAGTATGCACGTCCTTACACTTTTAATGTGAATTACTTTTATTTCCAAAAGTATATTTGCATGAAATTGTTTACATCAGAGGGTTTGTCCCAAATTGTGTTTATAGTTTGTATATCTTATGTGGAACGATATACTTAGTTCACTATAAACGATGCTCTGATACCAATCTGTCACACCCCTAAACCTCGGATGGCAGAAACGTCCGGGGTGGAGGACTTCATTTGTAGTATCATGACATATGAGTATAATAGTGATCACAGTGCATACAACCAATCATAAATATAATCGAAAAAGTTACATAGTTTCAAGTGTTACATGTTTCAAAATCGATTACAATATGACATCAAAAAAATAATTTGTCGAACACCGAAGCGTTCCATCCTTAAGCTTGCAGTTACCTTAACTCATTGATTTCCTGAGAATACAAGTAATTTTGAAAGAGTGTCACACTACTAGAAAAAAGCCCTTTAATGACGTGCAAACAATGACACACGCTGATAAACGATACGCATTTGTGCGTGCCCTAAAAAATAATGTCAGTTTTGCAAAATATGAAGGATAGAGGGCACCGCATTTGTGCGTGCCCTAAAATTAGTGTCAGAAAAGAAAAAAAAGAAAAAGCGGAGGGCACCTTTCATAAAACGTGTGTCATCTAAGAGTGTCGCTTTATAAGTTTTTAAAGAAACACGCGTTTTAAGCGGGATTTCACCCGCCTATACTGGATCCCAAAAATTAAACCCCCCGCCTCTTCCGATTAGCAAGAAAAAGCCCTAGGGCGTTGGTCTTCATAGCAGCATCGCACCACCACCCAACCTCCGATCTCGCACTGCCAACTGTCTCCGACCATCTTCTCCAACCATTTGGGAGAAGTTGTTTCCAAACGTTTCAACATTTCATTACATTTGACCAGCTTCTAAACCAATTTTCCCTTCCATCTTACGAAGACATCCTATTTTTCTTCTTGAGTGATTCCCCCCTTCTCCTCTAATTACTTTCTCGGCTTCTCCCCTGACTTACAACAAGAAAACCCTAGTTCTTTCCTTTAACTCGTCTTTTCAAAATCAAGCATATACAACCATCATCTATGAGAGTACGTCTCTCTTCTTCCTCTTACAATCGCTAAGCCCTAACACCGAAAATTGAAAGTCAATTGACCCTCCGTTAGAAGAAGAAGGTAAGAATTTTCCTTTATTTATTCCATTCTGTTACTTTGACCTCATATTCTTCTGTTCTTCATCTTTTTTCTTCCAAATTATCAACTCTAGCCCTATACTGTGTTTTCTTTAAATGGAGAACTATTCAATTTAGGGCTTGATTGCAATTTTCTCCACGAAGCCCTTCTTCAGTAGTCAGCTTTTTCATCTTTTTTCTGAAGGACCAATGCCCTTCTTTAGTGATTTCAGGATCCATGTAAGTATCAATGTTGAATTCATCTTTTTCCGATTGCTTTTCCATCTCAGAACACAAACTAGTGATTTTGGTTTTCTTGCTGCTTTAGTTCTCTAAATATTCCTCGTGCAAGGGAAGAAACTCTCTCCAGACATTCTATTTTGTGCCCGAATGGAATTCGTGGACAACACCCAGCTCCTACCTTCAATGTTGCGGTAACTTCATTTTCTTTTTGGATTCGTCTAAATGCATAGCATTAGCATCTTACTTTCATTTTTTTCTTCCTATTATTGCATGAAAAATCTACTCAATCATAGCAGTAAATATCATGTCTTTGCATGACATTACTATAATTGGGTGCTACGATGTTATAATAGGAAAAGGAAAGTAACAAATAAATTTAAAAGTACGTTATTATTTGTTCATGTAACCTTTTTTGATTCAGTAACATGGAGTGCTTATACTCTTATATGTATCTCAGGTTCGTTATCCAAGCAATATAGATTTGTCACCATCAGAGAGTTCCATGAATTCTTCTCTCAAACTTGGAAGTGGTTCTACTTCTACCAGACAGAATTATGCAGGTAAGCAAGGTGATTGTTTTCAGTTTACATTCAGGTTATCCTTATTGAATCAATATGTTTTCTTGTAGGAAAACATCCCTATTTACAGAATCACATGCCTACCCAAGGTCCTGGGGGTGGTCTGCTTTCACAAAACCAGAGGACAGCAGTTCCTCAAGTATCTTGGGTTAGTAGTGGTCAAGGTGTAACAGATCTCCCATTCCCAAAAAGGCTGGGAGTTGAGTTTAATGGGAGAGATAGCCCTCAATCTGCTGAGAGAAAAATAAGCTTGCAGACAACTAGTGCAGGTATCCTGAGTGGCATAAGACTGTTTTTATACAGTTATAGACAACAAGTTAAGTCTTACTTATCATGTCAGATTAATTTTTTTATTTTCAGGTCAAAGTCAAACACATCAGTATCCAGATAATGTTGTTCGACCTTCTATTGGTATGACTACTTGCTCTCTTTTTAATTTCTTGAGATCGTTTTTATGACAATCAGATCGAATTGATGCAGCACCTGTCAGTTATCCGATGAATCCTCAAGGTCCCCTTTTCAGTCATGGTAAATAAAAACCTAAGAAGTGTATGTATACAGTTGGATATATTGCATACATATTTGATATTTTTTTTTGTTTGGTCTTATGTAGGCCAATCTCAAATGGTTCAGCTTCCTAACAATCCTAGAGGACAAGATCCTACAACTTCTGTTGATGGTCTCTCTAATAATTCTGAGTATTATGCGAGACCATATCACAAGAGAAGTGCAGTGGCCCCACCTTCAAGCACCCATTGGGTTCAACGCCATAAGATGTCACATCCAACAACTACTCATCATTCAATGCCAATCCGATTCCCCACAAAACCAGCTGCTTCTGTAACAGCCAATCTTGCTCATCCTTCCATACCAATCTACCAATCACAATCACAGACTCAACAACGTGTTCATGCTCTTATGAATCCATCTATACCTTACACATAAAATTTTAGACCGCGTGTTCCTGTGACAGCTGCTCCTAGTCCTACAGTCTCTCATATTACATGGAAAGGTACACTATCGTTTCTTACTCTTACTATTTCTTCATATATATATATGACATGGTAACTACTAAATAATGTAATGTGTTTGATTATATGCCAGATCCTGAGACAAGTCCTCCTGAATTGACAAAATATAAATGCTTGCTATGCAAGAGGGATCTTTCATTAACATCAGAAGGTGCAGTATACCAGCCTACAACACCACCAGTAGTTGCTGTTCTTCCTTGTGGCCATACTTTTCATGATCAATGTTTGCAAAAAATCACTCCTCAAGACCAAGCAAAAGATCCGCCTTGCATTCCTTGCGCCATTGGTGAAAATTAGGTCCCATCTCTATTCTCTAACCCTACTTTTTATGGGTCCTTATATAAATATATACATATTAAACGTATAGATAGATGATGATATTTGAGATCAATTGGATGATTTTTGTTCTAATCACATAACTCAAAACTCTGCTAAACTGGTAGAGAACTGAAAAGATTTGATTTAGACCGGGTATTTTGGGTTTGGAACGTGATTCTCATTTCAATTGAGTACATATTTAGAGTTCTTTGGTCTCATTTGAATTATATTGGATGATTTATTTAACAAAATGTACATAAAGTTATGAATCTAACTTGGCAATTTTTGGTAGTCCACTTTTGAATTTTGCATATCGTATACAAGAAAACACGAGTTTTTTCTTATGCGACTACTACAAGTTATTTTATGGAAGATTTAAAGGAAACCATTTAAATATAGGGCTAATGACATAAAAACCCTTACGTTTGTAAGTTTTTGTCGGTTTTACCCTCTTGTAGATTTTAGGTTCATTAAATTCGGATATTTGCAACTTTTTTTTTTAATTTTAATTTTACCCTCTCGTTTATTAAAGCCTTTAAGTTTGATAGAAATGTTCGATTTTACTCTTTCTTTTTGGTTCATAAAAGCCCTTAAGTTTGGTTTCTAGTTCATTGTTTACCGTGAGACTGACCAACCTAGCAAGCTACAGGTGATTAGGGGTCCTTCGTGTGTGTGTGTGTGTATTTCTTTCATTATACAATTTTTATCTATTTATTATAGTGATATTTTCCTTACATATTGTTTATCTAATAGATCCGTGATGAAGGCACAAAATGGTCATATCCTGTTCAAATTGAGAAGGAAGACACCATATTTCTTGCTTTGAAGGAGGAAGATGGCACTCCGAAAATTTGAAGGACTGGAATTCGAGGTTATGAAGAGGCATCATGTTTCATTGTTGTACTCCGTCGTGGACCAAGATATGGCCCCATTAGGTATGCACACATCATATAACTTTGTATATTTATCAAAATGAAGGATAATTCAAGAAGCCCACTTTTATTTATTTCCATGCTTCTGCCTTACTTGTGAAAAAATTGTGCTTGACAGGATTGAAAACAGAACACTTGGAGAAGTTGTTAGAATTTGGCAGCCTGGTTTGAATAATTGTGTGCATAACAGTAATGAGGTTCTACCATTCAGTATTTCCTTATTCTCCTTTGACATTTTTTTTCTTTATATCTTCAAACATATAGCTGTAAAAGAACGAACTTTAATAAGGAAATAAATAAATTGTTGAAGTTTTTGATTGATTAAGTGTCTTGATTGAAACCGGGTGTACATGTTTTGACAAGGAGTTGTTGTATCTATTTAGAGTACGCTTAGATCAATGGTTGCAAGAGATTAATTCAGAAAAAGAAGAAGAAACAAGGCTGCAACTAACATGTTGACTCTTTGTTGACTTATTGTTGTTTTTTGTGCAGAAAGGTGCTTTATGTTCTGATACTAGTACTGGTCAAGGGGGTACTATTACATGGAAGGTGCTTCAATACACACTTGCTTACTCCATTGTACACAAACTAAGGAAATAGGAAAACACACAACGGAAATTGGAAAGCGAATGAAAATGACAAATGATTTTGTGTTGTGTTTACAGGGTTAATGAAGCGAATAGCTCTCGAGTTAGAAGTGGAAAAGGAAGCTCAAACCGAAAGAGATAAGATGCTGAAAATGCAAGTGTTGTATTCTTCATTTCAATTGTTAGTATGAAACATAGAGTAGATTAGATGAATGCAAATTTATATATTGTAAGAATTAGAATTGTATGACATTAAAGTTTATTCAATGGATTGTATTTTTTTGTATATGGTATTTTATTTCTATTATGATACATTAAATGCAAATTTAATTTAAAAATTAATAAATATATAAATATATATATATATATATTTAAATATTTAAATTTACGATACGCAAAAATGTATGTCATCTTCATTTATGACATGGCCTTTCTTGACAGGGGCTTTCTTGATACGCATTGCATGTCATTAACATTCGCGTCGTAAGGTTACGACACACGAATGCGTGTCGTCTTCCTTTACGATAGGGCCTTCCTTGATACGCATTGCGTGTCGTAAACGCGCGTCGTAATTGCGCGTCGTAAATGAGCGTCGTAAATGCGCGTCGTCTCTCTTTATGACAGGGCCTTCCTTGACGCGCATTTGCGCGTCGTCTTAGCCTTTTACGACGCGCAATGAGCGTCGTAAAAGGCTGTTTTTCTAGTAGTGTCAACAATTAAGTTGGTGAGTGCATAAGCTTTTAGATGTAGAGTTTGAAATCCTTTGTTTCTAAATGTAGGGAATACTCACGAAAATCCAATATTTTCCTTATAATAATGATACACAGTCTTAAGTTCCAAGTCCAAGTGTATGTATGTCATTACATACTTGTAAAAAAATGTAAGCATGTTTAAAAGAGTAACAACCCCCTTATAGTAGTAATTTACCATAAACTATATGTGTCATTAACTCCCTATGTGAGTCGCTATAACCATGCTATGACTTAGTAGACCTGCTACGACGTTCTTCGAACGTCACAATGTAATGACATTTGTCATCCCTGACCTGTCGGCCGAGCTGTTGCAAGCAGCTTGGATGTGGGTCGTCACTCCCAATATAGATCTGTATACAACTATCATGCTCTCCCTACAAGAGACTTTAGTTATAACTTTCAGGAATTTTAACCCATACTCTAAGAGTACAAATTAATAAATGTCTCACAATTTACGTTAACGAGTTTGCGTGTAGTGTGAATGCAAAAACCATTATTCCCTAGTGTAATTGTACCCATTTTTGCATTGTATATGTAGTGTAAAAATCCATAAACTATACCTATTATAGTTTATTGTTCATGTTTGGTAGTGAATGAAATATTTTACCGTGATTAGTCAACTAACATATAATACATTAAACACATAGAAGGTCTATTGCTTAGCACTTTGCTCAACATGTTACAAAGTGTTGCTAAATTAACAGTTGTTTTGCAAGAAGAAATAAAGAATTTAAGATGTTTAATACAGTCCATGAAAGGGACCAAACTTTCTGTTGGTGACTGTTGGCAGAATTAGTTTGTAATTTAGTGTTCTAACTTGTATTCTGTAACGTCCCAAAAATCAGGGGTAAATATTTCATTTTTAATATAACTAAAACATTGATACCATTTAATTCAAACAATCAAATCGTTTATCAGAGTTTATCCCAAAATCATTCATTGCGGAAATCATAGGTGTGTGCACTACGATCAACCCGAGCTCTTCCTTTCCAAAACGATGATACCTGAAACCATAAACAATCCTGTAAGCACGAAGCTTAGTAAGTTTCCCAGAGCATACCATTCACATAACCCACATATCACATATCATGTTAGCTATAAAAGCTACACACATATCATATATATTGTTAGCTATAAAAGCTACCATATATCACATAAGCCCTACACACATAAAATATGTAATAGTGCCATAGGCTACCCCACATGGTCTTATACCATTGTGCCTTGGGCTACCCCACATGGTCTTCCATGTAAGTATCACAAAGACAACTAGCATATCACATAATTACCACCTAGCATAAAGCTAACTATCATATCACACAACATAAGATGGGCCGGCCTGGGTGCCTTAGACCCATCGGTATGGTGAGAAGACTCACCTGCAACTGTCGGCTAAAGAAATAAGATCACGCTGCTCCAACCACAGACACAAACTCCTCCACTAGTCAGCACCAAATAATAAACTCAATAAATACCAATAATTACCAAATACCCCTAGAAGTCAATTGGTCAACTCTTGGTCAAAGTCAAACTCCTTAGTCAAAGTCAAACATCTTGACTGACTCTACTCGCCGAGTCAACCCGCTTACTCGTCGAGTCCAAGAATCTTCGAGTCCCATCCTGCTCAACTCACCGAGTCGTCCCTCGACTCACCGATTCACAACTTGACCAAAAAAGGTTAGGGTTCCATGACCAGAGTCACCGAGTCCAAGAACAGACTCGCTGAGTCCAAGGCAATCTTCAATAGACTCGCCGAGTTGTTCTTCCAACTTTCTGAGTTCATGCACATACTCATACAACTCGTCGAGTACACTCATGTGACTTGCCAAGTATCTCCAGTTCTCAATCCATTCAGAGGCTTTTCAAGCCATGCAGGGGCTCCAATCCATAGTTCTACCCTTCTACAAGCTATCCCTCACGTAAATTTGTAAACTTTATGTGATACCAAGGAAATATAAGCCCAAAATACACTAGGGCTTGGGTTTTAGACAAAGGGGCTTTACCAACAATCCAAAACTGAAGCTTTATGACATTCAAAGCCATCATGAGTCTAGACCTGGAGCAGCAACCCTAGATCTAACTCCCAAATCAGAGATAGGTCTCAAAACAAGCTAAAGGACTCCCAAAACAACCACCAAGGATAAACCAAAAAGGAAATAGCTTAATATAAGGCTTCTTACCTCAGAGATGTGCCCAACACTAATGTAGATCACATATCTATACAAGCCCTTGATGCTAACTTCCAATTTCTCAAGCTCCTTCCACCAATTTCCTCTTCTAAGCCCCTAATCTCCTCAACAATGAAGCCTCACATGAATTTTGGGGTTTCTGGAACTCAAAGGGAAGGTAAATAGGATGAAGGAGGAACATAACATTCTTTATATGCGGCACAACCCCGGGATTAGGGTTTTTCTCTCTTCAACACCAACTCGTCGAGTCCAACTACCGACTCGACGAGTTTGTCACTTAACTCATGACCAAAATCCCGCTCCGTCTCAGCGAGTTGGAATACCTACTCGTCGAGTTCCCTTCTTTATTTACACTTTACCCCCTGAACTCTTGATTCTGACTTGGGATGTTACATTTCCTTTCTTGGCCTTTCTGATTTCGGGTGTTACAACTCTCCCCCACTTAAACTAAACTTCATCCTCGAAGCTCACTATGGCTAAATGACCTGCAATCCACCTCCAACACCTTACCTGGTGACTCTAACCCTATTAGCCTTCCGCCCGATCATTCTGGATGGCATAATCCTTACAGGTCAAATCCCTTAGTACAATCTATCCTTAACCTTCCTAAGAACACCCCCTGCTTAACTGGCATTCCTTCCGATACTCCCCGAGTACCTAGGCTAAACATTCTTGGGGCTTACTTCCTTTTCCTCGTGCGTTTCTGGCCTCCCCAAGGCTGCCCTCTATAGCTATCCATTTCCTTTGTCACTGTGAGGAACATACCCTTCACGATGATCATCACTCCAGCCATTCTCGGTGCCGATCACTATTGTTGGTAGTACCGAACTCCCTGAAACACTGAACTGCTATATGGTTGCTTCCCAAAATATCTTGATACCTTCCTGGTCTCCAATCATCCGTCGGTTATCTGCTAAACCGAGTTCAGACTTAACTGTGGAGTCCAAGGACTCCTCACTCAGTCTCTCCCATGACTTCTGAACGAAATCTTTCTCTAGAACTAGTTTCCACTAGTTATCCTGTCCCTGTGGCTCTAACAACCTCCTGCTACTATGAAACTGCTTTTCTAAAGAACGACCGAGACCTTCCTGGTTCCGACTTGACTGTCAACTGTCTGAAGCACCGGACACCTTCCCGATTGTTGAGCCAGATACACATGCTCCACATTCCCACATGACCTCCGAAGGACACCTCGTCTAACAAACACCACCCTGGCGATATCTTTTCTCTCGAATCCTTCACCCCCTTGATCCATCCGATCATGACAGGCTGACAACCTGTCGCCACTGAATCCGATGCAAAAATGAATGCCACAAGAACAATTGTGGTCTTACATCATACCTGACCTCCCTCGACCGGTCTTTTTCTGGTTAAACATGTCATGGTCCCATTACTTATAGAACCAATTCGAGTCATACTGTGATGGCTTGAGATACCATCAACCACACCCATTCATTACCCTGGTATCCTGCATTTGATGCCCTTGGTATCTTATGCTCCCAATCTCATCTTACTGAAACAAAATCTTGTACTGAACATGCACGAACCCTGATTCGGAATCCTTTCTGAAACCAGTCGACAACCCGCTACTACCTCAAGGTTCATAATACACCATAACTTCCAACGTCCCCTTTGTGGCCGATAGATAATCACCCTCAGCCGATCCCTGAGACTACCAGTCTCTCATCTGGTCCAACCACCAGGCTTCCAGGTGATCAAAAACCAAGACTACCAAGCCGTAGCCATACTGCATCACGTGCCACTTATCTACAAGATCCTGCAACTCGAAATCCAACACTTAACTCAACAGTCTCTACCATTTCCATTCTGAAATCCCATACCCATCCGGGCTCGCCCATGAATAATCCTTCCAATCCTGATTCTACCTAAGTTGTGGCTTTCCCATGACTTTGCAAACTGATCTACCATAGACCCAATCACTCAAAGAACCCATGAATGCTACGGCTGTCCCGTAGTCTTACAACACTTCCCATGCCATCCGATTATTAGTGAATGCTATAGCCCCCTGTAGTCTGACAACACCCGCACCCTAACTATCCATTAGTGAATGCTACGGCTCCCCCGTAGTCCTACAACACTTCCACAGTGAATGCTACGGCTCCCCCACAGTCTTACAACACTTCCACAGTGAATGCTACGGCTCCCCCGTAGTCTTACAACACTTTCACATTGAATGCTACGACTCCCGCGTAGTCTTACAACACTTTCATACCACATGATCATTTCCCA